TCAGGTGCCTTGTTGGTCTCTGATATGAAACGTCAGAAAACAGAAGCAAGTTAGAACTGAAGGGTACAGATCTGGAGGTACAGGCAGGAGTAAAGATGGCTGTAAGATGGGTCACACGATGTGGCATAATTCAGTGAGAAACAGGGATGTGAAGAGCTGGTCAAGAGAAATCTGTCCTGTTTGGTCAGTTTAGCACTGGACAAATGTCAAATCTCGAGTTTAAGGGCTGAAACTTTACGAAAAGCTTTAATAGGCACCCTGGAGCAATGCTGGAATGCAGCTTCAGGAAGGTGCCAGGGAAGTGGCAGGAGAGGCCACTGAGGAAACGGGGGTTGCTGTAGGAGTAGGATGAAGCTGTAATACGCAACAGCACAAAATGCATCACCTTGTCTCTAGGCTAGCACTCTCTTGGCATAGTTTTCTGTGTATAGTAATATAAAGGGTTGGTGCCCTCAGGAAGACCTACAGATAGGGACAGAGGTCAGGGTTTATTAGAGTGGTGGCAATTTTAGATGTTGGTTGCCTTAGGAGGGGCTTGGAAATATCAACTTGGCTAGTTATTATAAATGCTTTAACGATGGCTAAGTAGCCTAAGTAACTAGAAATCTACTGTATACAGTACCAGACTATACTTAAAAAGATGTGCATCTGGGAGAGAATTCGGGGACTGGTAGATGCCTTGACTTAATCTTGGTTAGAGGTTTCCTTGAAAGATGGCATGTTCCAAATATTTCACCATGGTCTGAAAAAGGCAGAGCTTTTCTTATGTCCTGTCTTCCAAGATAGGTTGGTAAGGACTAGAGAGTTTATTTCTCTTGGATGTCAGAGCACGGTGTATATCATCGATGTTTAAACCAGAACTAAATTGTTGGAAACTCAACTGCATCTAGATTTCTTTTTAATGAATAAGAAGAGTTGGAGGGAAATCACGGTAGCCTTAAAAGCAATCTGACTTAGATACATAGCTGCCCTTAAAAGGTGAAAGAAAACAATTATTGACTCTTCCTCTCAGTTAAAAGTTCCAGTAAGGATGCTTTCTTGTTTTTAATACTTCTTTCCCTCCAAGAAATCTCAAATCACTAGCGGTTGTTGTTGTTGTTGTTGTGGTGGTGGTTTTTAAAGATTTTATTTTTAAGTAATCTCTACACCCAACATGGGGCTTGAACTTTAAACCCCAAGATGAAGCATAGCATGTTCTCCCAACTGAGACAGCCAGATGCTCCACAAGCCATTACGATTTTAAGGATAAAATATGCCATGTTCCCCCAGGTATTTTATAGATATTTACATTATACAGCTAAAGAAAAAAGGGGCTAAATGTGCTACAAAGTCTTTTGTCTGCCCTCCTTTTGTCCCTTCTCCTAATGGGAAGTCATAGGAGTTTTGGGGGATAGGCTCAAACCTGTTTTTGGTCTAACCATAAGTTGGGGAATTTTAATTTGAAGAGACACATTCGTAATTAGGAGTCAATGTACATCAGAGCATACACATACCATACATAACATGGGCAAGTACATCAGTGTAATTCTACAGCCCAAATGGGCTCTGCTGGGACAGATCCCTTCATGGCCAAAACTTAAAAGATCATAAACGTGTGCACGGATGCTTAAGATAGACATATTGAGGTTGACCATTGTCATTTCCGAGCAATAATGCTATTTAATCAGATGTGCATATAGCGTAGCCATCCTTTAGGACAGAATTTCAATTAAGTTGACCAACTAGTTGTACGGGAAGTTTCCTTATATACCAAGATGCACTAACATAGTTATGTGATATAGTTTCAGGTTACTGATTTTGCACAAATGAATCTTACCTACCTGTTCCTAGAATGTGTTTGTCATATGGTAGGTACTCAGTAAATGTATTTGAAATAAACGAGAGAATGAATGACACTATTTTTACCAGTCAGTGAAAAATAAATTACCAAACTATATTTGAACAATTTGGTAACAGGTAAGACAAAGGCTAGTAAAACATATTCTTTAAAATGGGATAATCAAAGATACCCTATTTTACAATAAACTGCTTATAATGTTAAGTAGCAGAAAGGTCTTATACAAAGATACATGTAAACTATGTTTAGATTTAGTTTATAAAGCTTAGCACCTAAATCTACCTAAAAATAACTCACGTAAAATACTAGTATCTCACTTATAAGTTTGAATTACTATTCTTTTAGACAAAACCAACTGTCATTTAAGCATTGTTTTTTAAAATATTTTTATTACTCCTATTTCAACCCAATCCTCTCAGGAGTTTATAATTGGCTATGCTTCAGACTGTTGAATTAAAAAAGTATTTCTTTGGCGGGGGGGTGCCTGGGTGGCTCAGTCGGTTAAGCGTCCGACTTTGGCTCAGGTCATGATCTCATGGTCCGTGAGTTCGAGCCCCACGTCGGGCTCTGTGCTGACAGCTCAGAGCCTGGAGCCTGCTTCGGATTCTGTGTCTCTCTCTGCCCTTCCCCTCTCGAGCTCTGTCTCTCACTCTCTCTCAAAAAAATAAACATTAAAAAATATTTTTTTTAAGTATTTTTTTTAAGTTTATTTTTCAGAGAGCATGCTCACAGGAGGGAGGAAGGGCAGAGAGAACCCCAACCAGGCTCCACACTGCCATTACAGAGCCCAACACAGGGCTGGACCCACAGGGAGATCATGACCTGAGCCAAAATCAAGAGGCTGATGCCCAACAGACTGAGCCACCCAGGCACCCTCAAAAAGCATTCTTAAAGAGCGTACTCCCTCTCCTAAATCAGACAATTCACCTACAATAATAGTAGAGGGAACGTATTAGGGTATAGACCTGGTAGAAGTGGTAATGAAAAGCCTGCGAAACCCCTTCCTCTTTTTTTTTTAAGTTTATTTTTTTATTAAGTAATGTCTACCCTAATGTGGGGCTCAAACTCCTGACCTCGGAGATCAAGAGTCTCCAGCTCTTCTGACTCAGCCTGCCAGGCCTCCAGGGGGGTAAGTCCTTTTTTAACTGAAACAGGACGCAAGGTATCAGCATGGTGTCAACTAGGTGGAACACAGAAGTAGAAAATGTTGCAAGCTTGACAGAAGGTGTGAAACAGTTCTTCAGGAAAGTGGTGCTATGAATGAATGGTCTAGGAAAACGTTTCAGGATTTTAAGGAAGTATGCATGATTGTCTTATATGTTTAATGCAATGATCATTCTTGCTGTAAGCAGAACAGGTGATCTTTAATTCCCTGACACTAACTCTTACATCTTAGACATATCTCCATGGTGTTATGAATATTATCCTCTAAAAATACAGCTTTTTGGGGCACTTGGGTGGCTCAGTTGGTTAAGTGCCCAACTTCGGCTCACATCATGATCTCACAGTTAGCGAGTTCGAGCCCGGTGTCCAGCTCTGTGCAGCCTGGAGCCTGATTCAGATTCTGTGTCTCCCTCTCTCTCTGCCCTACCCCCACTTGCGCTCTGCATCTCTCTCAAAAACAAACACTAAAAAAGTAATAATAAAAATAAAAGTACAGCTTTTCATTTATTTTTATTGCCAGGCACTCACAAAAATTAGTTTTGATCAGTTTTCTCACAATTCAAAAACCTCTAATCGTTCTGAGCTAGTGCATTCTCCTCAGGACAATTTCTTTAAATCTAAGCCTCATCTTATCCTTCATACAATTCTATATTTTAAGCTCTAAGACTACCAAAGTTCTTGAAATTTGTCATGCACTTCCACGATTCTGCTTCTGACTAGTATTCTGTTTGTATGGAATATCCTTAAGTCATTTGAGATCCTATTCATTCTTTAAATGATTTAGCTCAAATGCTACAGCATTCATTCACTTAACTAATATTTAGGAACTTACAATGTATCAGGCACTGGGCATACAAAGCAAAAAAGAAAAAAAAAGGATAAATACTGAAAAATTAATATAAGGGAATACCTGTTCAGCTGCTACAATGAATGAACCAGAGTTACGTTACACTAGTAAATCTTAAAAACATAAGTTAACAAGCAAGCTACAAAAGGATATATACACTGCTGATTGTTAAAATTATGCAAAACATTACTATATATGTTGTCAAAATTAAAGCATAAAAGTGCTTGGGAGAGTGGTTACCTTGGGCAAGAGGGAACAGAATGAGACTGCGTGGGTCAGACAAAGGACTTCAATTTATATTATCAAGGAATTTATGTAATTTATTTCTGCAGTTAGGTGGCGAGTACACAATGTATGATTTATACTTTTGTCTGTATAAAATAGTCTACATTTGTAAAGGATATGTAAGGCTTGACTCCCTCCTGAAGACACTGCAGATCTGTCTCACAACCCGTAACCTAACATTACCTTCTGTCTCTTGTACTCTCGTTTACCGTATTGCCTCGATGCACTCATTAGGTAGGACACTAGATCCTAAGAGTAGGAACTTGCAGGTATCACCTTCAAGCATATTCACATGTTATCCTCTTTCCAGCGGATTCCTGACTTCTCTCCAGTCCTCTCGGGCCCAACTAGGCCTTCTAAGAATTTCAGCTTGCCTCTTCCAACCGACCCTAGAATAGCTCCGCTCAGACCCCGGATTGCTGTCCCTCTCGCCCCGGGAGGCCTCAATTCGTCCCCTGTGCGAAAGCAGAAGGTGCCTCCTCCAATGAAACCCGGGATATCTCCCGTTAGCCGACTCTGGTCCATCCCTATCAGAGGCTGCCTTTCTTCTCACCTCCAGCCCAGCGCCACAAGCCTCCCGCTTCGCCCGACGAGCGGCGGTTCAGCTCGTCCCCCCTCCCCCATTCCCTACGCAACACCACTTCCGGCCTAACCTCACCACTCACAAACATCTCACTTCCAGCCGGGAAAAAAAAACCAAAAACCAAAAAACAACACTGGCTCGGCCCTTTGCGCACGCGCAAAACGGCGGACAGGGCCGAAATTTTCGCCTCCCGGCAGTGTCGCGGTAGTCTCGCGGTATTTGCTTGTCCCGCGGGAGTTCTTTCGAACGCTCTGGCGGTAACCCCGCCTTGGGTGCTCAGCTGCGGGCGGACCGGAGCCGGAGGCGGATTTGGAGTCTGGTCCCGCCGTCTGTCGGGGCCGCAGTACCCCTGTGCGGACGAAGCTCGTCCCAGCCAAGTCTCGGCGCCATGGGGGCGGAGTAGAAGCTGCTGTCGGTTAAGGAGGCCTTTCAACTGGCGCAGCAGCCGCACCAGAACCAGGCGAAGTTCGAGGTGGCGCTGAGCCGCACCTACTGCAAGGTCAGCGCGGCCCCAGCCTCGGCCGCCGTCCCCCCGCGCTCCCGGGACCCCCGAGTGGCCCTTGAGCGCACGCTACCCCTGACGGTCTTCGTAAGACGATTGTAGGGAATTTTGAATTTCATTACCGTTTTACCTGGTTTACTTGTTTAGAGACCCATGTTGTATTTAATGATCATAGTCTTGTGTCTCTTTAGGTTAACAGCTCACGGACTTTTAACATACATCTTCATTTCATTAAACTAGGTTTAAAATACATATATAAGTACATATTTATGTTTCTGCCCTGTAATGATTTTAACAAAACACACTTTTAAATTCTTGACAAAATCAGTGCAAATAAGTGCATCTTTGTTACAAACCAGCGACTTTTCAGGTTGATATATTTATCGCCTTTTTTTTTTTTTTTTTTTTTTTTTTAAAATAAACCCAAAACCGGGGGGGGGGGGGGGGGGGGGGTTAGAGGGATGGGGGGTGGAGGGGGGTGGGTTGTTGGTGGTGGTGACCCAGCTCTGGGCTTGAACTCACAACCCTGAGATCAAGACCCGAGCTGAGATCAAGAGTTGGTTAAGAACCAACCGAGCCACCCAGGCGCCCGTTTATTGCCTTTTATTTATTTATTGCCTTTTATTATGATTTTAAGAAATAGAAAAAAATGTTAGGTGCAGGAGTTTTTATTTTAACTCAGACTTCACACGACATGAATCAGTAAATATTTTACAAGCACTAACTACACAGAAGAAATGCTCCTTCCTAGTCCCCACCAGTACTGTCCCTCATAGTCTTCTACAGGTAACCATTTTTTAAATTTTTTTTTTTAATGTTTCTTTATTTTTGAGAGAGACAGAGACAATGCGAGTGGGTTAGGGGCAGAGAGAGAGGGAGACACAGACGCAGAAGCAGGCTCCAGGCTCTGAGCTGTCAGCACAGAGCCCGACGCAGGGCTTGAACTCGCAAGCTGTGAGATCATGACCTGAGCGGAAGTCGGTGGCTCAACCGACTGAGCGACCCAGGTGCCCCTAAAGGTAACCATTTTAAATCAGTTTCTTGTTTATCCTTCCAGTCTTCATGCAAATACAAGCAAATATGACTGTGCATGCTTATTTCCCTCCATTCTTTCTTCAATATTTTCTGCATTGTTTTGCACTTTGCTTTTTTCACTTAATAGTATATTCTGGATATTCCTTATCACTGTCTAGTTACATTTCCTCTCTTTTTTTTTTGTTTTTTTTTTTTCTTTTTTTAGCTGTGACATATTCCATTTTGTGGACATACTCCAATTTATAGCCAATCCACTATATGTACACACTTGTTTCCAGCCTTTACATATTCAAAACAATTTTTTTTAACCTTTACACCCAAGGTGGGGCTCAAACTCACAACCCTGAGATCAAGAGCCCGTGCTCTGCGGACTGAGCCAGCCAGGTCCCCTAGAAACAATATTTTAATGAATACATGTCGTATCCTACATTTGCACAGGTAACTGTCAGATTGTCTGAAGAGAACTGGGTCAGGTAGGAAATGCATTTTTTTTTTTAAGTTTATTTATTTTGAGAGAGACAGAAGCAGCATAAGTGGGGTAAGGGCAGAGAGAGAGGAGAAGGAGAGAATCCCAAGCAGGCTCCTCTTTGCCAGTGCAGAGCCCAACTGGTGGCTGGAGCTCAGGAAACCTTGAGATCCTGACGTGAGCTGAAATCGAGAGACAGAAGCTTGACTGAGCCACCCAGGCGCCCCTTATAGGAAAGGGATTTGTAAATGTGATAAGTACTGACAGCTGCCCTTCATAGAGTGGTCCATTCTACACTCCCAGCAGCCAAGGATGAGAGGTATTGCTTTTTTTTGTTTGTTTGTTTTGAGGAGGAGAAGGAGGTTTGGGAACCACTGGAATATAACCGAGAGGATGTTTTATGATAGAAAAGAAAATTGTAAGTGAAATCCTGAACAGTGTGGGAATATGAGTTACAATGATAAACAATTCATCAAAAAGAAAAGAAATTGCTCTATTATAGGAAGGCGTAATTGTAAAAGGCAGTGTTGAATTGACACCAGTGGGTTTTTTCTTTCCTTTTTTTTTTTTTAATTTTTTTTTTTAACGTTTATTTATTTTTGAGACAGAGACAGAGCATGAACAGGGGAGGTCAGAGAGAGGGAGACACAGAATCTGAAACAGGCTCCAGGCTCTGAGCTGTCAGCACAGAGCCCAGTGCGGGGCTCAAACTCATGGACCGTGAGATCATGACCTGAGCCAAAGTCGGCCGCTTAACCGACTGAGCCACCCAGGTGCCCCTCCTTTTTTTTTTTTTTTTTAACTGAATTGTATGTATCTTTCCTAAATAGATTGAAGGGTGTGTAGAAGAATCAAGAGAATCTTTTGTAATCAAAATCTGTGCTGCCTTGCTCCATAACAGAAATAAATCAATAACAGAGCAGGAGTAAATGATTATTCAAGGCTATCTTCCTTAATAATTTCTCCTTCTGGATAGGCATTTAAGAGTTATTAAAGAATAAAGATTTTAGTTTGTTGAGAAATTATTAATACCTTGGAGTCTTAGGTCAGTGCTAGGAATAAAGACTTAACAATGTAGTTTGAAGGATTGTTTTTATATTTCTAGATATCAGTAAAACATTTTTTGAGGAGGCACTTGTTCATACCTTAAATACATTATGATAGTCTGTAAATATGAACCTGCAGAGGAGTGAGAAATACACTTTGTAGCAGTTTATTTTACTTTCATTTAGCCAAACTGAAGGCAGAAGAAGTGACATTTCAAGTTATTTTAATTGTTTTACCTTCTCTTGAAATCATCTTTTGTTAACATTTACAGTGAGTGTGTGTATCATTTAAAAATTTACTGGGTTTGGGGTGCCTGTATGGCTCAGTCAGTTAAGTGTCCAACTCTTTTTTTTTTTTTTAATTTTTTTTTTTAAACATTTATTTATTTTTGAGACAGAGAGAGACAGAGCATGAACAGGGGAGGGGCAGAGAGAGGGAGACACAGAATCTGAAGCAGGCTCCAGGCTTTGAGCTGTCAGCACAGAGCCCGACACGGGGATAGAACTCACAGACTGCAAGATCATGACCTGAGCCGAAGTCGGCTGCTTAACCGACTGAACCACCCAGGTGCCCCATGTCCAACTCTTGATTTCAGCTCAGGTTCATGAGTTCGGCCCCGTGTTGGGCTCCTCCCTGACGACGCTGAGCCTACCTGGGATTTTTCTCTCCCTCTCTGTCTGCCCCTCCATGGATTGCTCTCTCTCAAAATAAAAAACTTAAAAAAATTAATGGGTTTAAAGCTTTAAGAGCTTATAAAATTTATTTATTTTTCGGTGTTTATTCTATTATTGAGAGAGAGGACAAACCGCAGAGGGGCAGAGAGAGAGGGAGACAGAGGATCCAAAGCAGGTTCCGCAATGACAGCACCAAGCCCGGTGTGGGGCTCAAACTTACGACACCACGAGATCATGACCTGAGCCAAAGTGGGACACTTAACTAACTGAGCCACCCAGGCACCCCAAGAGCTTGCATAATTTAGAGAAAAGACAGCTCCCAGGGGTCTAAATTTATATGTGATGATAAGTAAGTTCATGGTATATGTATATACACACATATTTATGTTCTGTGAAAGTCACCTTATAAATATTTTCTATGATAAAATATTATAATCAAAAGCCAATTTATTGTATAATACTAGGTTTAATTTATTTTGTTTACTTTTCTAGTGCTACCTTATTTTTTTAAGTTTATTTATTTTGACAGAGAGAGAGAGAAAGTGTGAGTGTGGGAGGAGTAGGGGGTCGCTCAATCTCCTAGAGCCCAGAGCCTGATTCATGAACCATGAGATCATGTGCTGACAGCAAGAGTCAGCTGCTCAATGCACAACTGACTGAGCCACCCAAGCACCCCTGTAATGCTAGCTTTAATTTAAAAAACTTAGGAACCAGTTTGAGGCAAATATATTTAAATGAGTACTTAAGAAGATCAAAGACTTTTTTTTGATCCAAAAATTATTGCATTCTTGTTATTTGGCAAATATTATTTCAGGTAAAGGTTATTTTGAGACTCTATTAAATATATATTTAGTAAACCTATGCATGAAATTAACATAACTTTTTTTGCATGAATTATGGCTTCCTTATGAATTATTATTGAATTCTGGAATTCTGAACCTGGGGAAAATCAAATGGTTGTCATTATAATGCCACCTGGGAATAATTTGATTTATGTATTTTTTTTCAGGACTGAGGCAAATAGCAATGAAGTTGGGTTTTTAGTGTGCCAGATTCTAAGTAAATTCTTGGGAAATAAGCTGGAAAAAGGCCAGATTGGTAATGTTTTGTGCATAAAAAGAATGAAGCTCTTATTAGGCTAAAAGATTAGATGTGAGGATACAGGCAATCCCAGCTCTTTCAAGACTTAGAACATTTGGGTAACGATTGCCCCATGGTTAAAAGGTATGTGCTACTTCACGGTGTCTTATTGATTTTAAGTGCACGTAGTTGAATTTTTCCTTATTAAATATATAATATATAAGTGAGAGAAGAGAGTGTGTGATACATGCATATACCTCATTTAAAGATACATTGTTTCAGGGGCACCTGGGTGGCTCAGTCAGTTAAGCATCAGACTTCGGCTCAGGTCATGATCTCATGGTTCCTGAGTTTGAGACCCTCATTGGGCTCTGTGCTGACAGTTCAGAGCCTGGAGCCTGTTTTGGATTCTGTGTCTCCTTCTCTCTCTCTCTCTCTCTCTCTCTCTGCCCCACCCTGGCTTGCACTGTCTGTCTCTCTCTGTCTCAAAAATAAATAAGCATTAAAAAAAGATACAGGGGCACCTGGGTGGCTTAGTCTGTTAAGTGTCTGACTTCAGCTCAGGTCATGATCTCAAGGTCTGTGAGTTTGAGCCCTGCATCGGGCTCTGTGCTGACAGCTCAGAGCCTGGAGCCTGCTTCAGATTCTGTGTCTCCCTCTCTCTCTGCCTCTCCCCAACTCATGCTCTCTCTCTCAAAAATAAATAAAAAACTTGAAAAAAAATTAAAAAAAAAAATAAAGATACATTATTTCAATAGCAATATTGAAAAAAATTTTTAACGTTTATTTAATCTCTACACCCAACATGGGGCTCAAACTCACTACCCCAAGATCAAGGCGTCCCCTCTCCTTTATTTTTAAAGTCCATTGCAATCCTTTGATACCAACTTGGTATCCTATAATGTAAGTATAACTAGAGCAGAGCCACAGGTCAAGCAAGGGCTCAGTCCCACAAGACTGCCCTGACTTAGGACACTAGCCACAAGTCTCTGGTATCCCCAAACTGCTTCCACTTCTATGTAGCTAACTGCAAATTTTGGGGATGCCCATGACAACCACACCCCTTCCCCAGGTATGAAAATTCTCTAGAATGACTGACAGAATTTGGGAAAGTGATGTACTTACTATTACAGTTTTATTGTAAAGGATGCAGTGAAACAGCCAAATGGAAGAGATCTATAGGGCAAAGTAAGGGAGGCATGGGGGTGCAGAGCTCCCATGACCTGTCTGGGTATGCCACTGTCCCGGCCTGTCTGTGTATCCACCAACCTGGAAGCTTGAGCCTAGTTGTTTCAGGGTTTTTTATGAGATTTCATTGAGTAGATATGTTTGATTAAGTAATTGACTATTTGAACTCAATCTCTAGTTCCTCTCCCCTACTTGGAAAAAGGGTGATGGGCCTGAAAGTTCCTGCCCTGTAATCACCTGATTGTTTCTCAGCTGACCAGTTTCCATCCTGAATCTAAGGTCCTCACATGCCCAACCCCTGCTCGAGTCCCCTCATTACCATAAACTCACATAAAGTTGAAAGGGACCCCAGAATAACAAGACATTCCTATCTCTCAGGAAATGCCAAGGTTTTTTGAGCTCCAAACCAGGAATTAAGATCAGATACACTTTTTATTACTCCATGAAAGAATAATAAAATGAACACATATACCTACCATCTAAGTTAAATGGAATGCTGAGGTACCTTTGTTAAGTTTCTTATGCCTTTTTCTGAATGTATTCCCCCTTCTTTCCTTCCCAGGGGAAACCCTGTTGTGAATTTTGTGTTACTCATTACCTTTCTTTTTTTTTTTTTTTGGTGGGACTTTCTCTTTATTTTAATTTTTATTTAATTTATTTTTTTAATTTACATCCCAGTTAGCATATATTGCAACAATGATTTTAGGAGTAGATTCCTTACTACCCCTTACCCATTTAGCCCCTCCCCCTCCCACAACCCCTCCAGTAACCCTCTGTTTGTTCTCCATATTTAAGAGTCTCATTTCCCTCCACCCCCGTTTTTATATTATTTTTGCTTCCCTTCCCTTATGGTCATCTGTTTTGTCTCTTAAAGTCCTCATATGAGTGAAGTCATATATTTGTCTTTCTTTGACTAATTTTGCTTAACATAATACCCTCTAGTGCCATCCATGTAGTTGCAAATGGCAAGATTTCATTCTTTTTGATTGCTGAGTAATACTCCATTGTATGTATACCACATCTTTATCCATCCATCCATTGATGGACATCTGCGTTCTTTCCATACTTTGGCTATTGTTGATTGGCTTTCTTTTCTTTAGAGTTTACTTTATTATAGTTTTAAGGCTATGTAGATGTATCCCCCAAATAAGTACTTATCTTTGCCTTTTTTCACCTTAATATAAATGGAGATATATTACATATACACTTTTGTAACTGCTTTTTTTTCCACTTAATACTCTTTGTAAGAATCTGAAGTGCAAATTTATGCATGTAGCTATAGCTCATTCTTGTTCACTACTAGATGGTACAGCATTACGTTTTAGAAAGAGGGCACACTTGGGGCGCCTGGGTGGCTTAGTCAGTTAAGTGTCTGACTTCGGCTCTGGTCATGATCTTGTGGTTCGTGGGTTCAAGTCCCACATCGGGCTCTGTGCTGACAGCTCAAAGCCTGGAGCCTGCTTCAGATTGTGTGTCTCTCTCTGCCCCTCCCCCACTCACACTCTGTCTCTCTCTCTCTAAAAAATAAATAAACATTAAAAAAAAATTTAGAAAGACAGCACACTTGAATTATCCAGTCTGTTTAGTATTATGAGCTAAAATGCCATCAGCATGCTCAAACATGTGCTAAAATTTCTCTGGCTAATAATGCCTAGAGGTGGTGTTAGGGACTGAACTGTGTGTCTCCCAAATTCATATGTTGAAGCCCTAACTCCTGATATCTAAGAATGGGACTGTATGTGGAGATAGGGTCTTTAAAGAAATAATTAAGTTAAAATAAGGCCTTTGAGAGGGGGCCCTAATCCAGTCTGACTTGTGTTTTGATAACAGAAGGCAGTTAGAACATACAGAGAACTCATGGAGAGAGGAAAGGCCATGTGAGGACACTGGAAGAAGACACGTACAAGCCAAGAAAAGGGCCCTCAGGAGAACCCAGACCTGCTGACAGTTTGATCCTCAGAAGTCCAGCCTCCAAAACCAAGAAAATAAATTTCTGTTGTTTAAGCCATCTCATCTGTACTACTTTGTTATGGCAATTCTGGTAAACAAATACAGGTAGAAATGCTAGATGGGAGTGTGTCGGTGTGCAGCTTAACTACTGGTACTCACGTGTTTTGCTAAAGTAATTGGACTAATTTGCAATCCTACTGTCAGAATTCTGTTTTTCTTTTTAAGTTTGTTTATTTTGAGAGAAAGAGAGCGCAAGTTGGGGAAAGGCAGATGGGGGGGGAGAGAGAGAGAGAGAGAGAGAGAGAGAGAGAGAATCCCAAGAACGCTCTGCACTGTCAGTGCAGAGCCCAATGAGGGGCTCAAACTCAAGAACCGTGAGATCATGACCTGAGCCGAAATCGAGTTGGACCTTTAACCGACTGAGCCACTCGGGCGTCCCTCCTCTTATTTCTTTTTGTACTAGTATGTTTTGTTTCCCATTTCACTTTCTTTGTCCTATAAATATTAGGTGTAGTTAATACTAATTTGAAGAAAATGAGTTATGTAACAAAATATAAGAAAATTAGAGGGAAGTCACATTCTTCTACAGCTTATATAACTGAACAGATGCTTTGAAATCAGTGATGTGAAAAAATCTTCTATAAGCCTGGTTACACTTCACTGAACTATCTTAGAGTTGCTTCATCTGTCTGATATGTAAAAGTAGCCTGCAGTGGCAGACTCACTGTTTTCTTTTTTAGTAACTCCCAGTGAACTGATGGGAATTTGCAAAAACAATGGTTGTAGGTATATGACAAATTAACTCATCATTAAACGCCATTACCTTGATTATTTCCTAACACAATAGAAATATGTAAGCTGATAGGGAGAACAGAAGGTTATATCACTGAAAAGTTTCATGCAATGATCCCTTTGTAAGAAAAAAATATCCCATGCAATTTCACTAATGTGTAAATACAACAGAGAAATAATCCCAAATAAACACAATGCAAATAAAAACGGCGACATTTTATTTAATGTGATGAGTGTGCTGTCTTTAGGAGTTCGTTCCAGTCGGATACACAAAGGTAATCCCCACATGCCTGATACACTATTAACCCTGTTTCTTTTGTTTTTAATTGGATTAACTATTTAAAAGTATTAATAAGTAGTGCTATAGTAATTCTGTTTTTTTAATGGGCAGTCTTCATGCAAAAGAATGATAAAGCCAATGTCTCATAATCATTGTTCAGTGTTTATGAAAAGTGTTAATGTTTTATGTTCTTCTCGAGTATAATTGATTTTCTGATTCAGAGTTTTAGAAAGCAAGTGAATCTATCCAGATATTTTTCTTGAATGTATCAAAGGTTTGTTTGTGTGTGTGTTTGTTTGTTTCTGAGACATGATGGTTAAAAGTTTGAGACAGGACACTAACAATAAAAAATAGACAAAATATTTGAAACACTGTTTTTCAAGATATGAGGCGACGAAGGATGTGAGCCCTTGTGGAGAGGAAGCAAGGTGAGTTCTATGATTGCTCCAGCTTACTGTCTTGGGAGAGTTTCTAGGCCACTGCACAGGGAGGGGGGAAACGGAGACAGTCTGGTGAAATCTTAGGAGACAGAGCTGAGAGTCCTTGTAGAGTTTGCAGCAGAGACCATTAGAGGGAAGAGAGCTGCACAGAAACAGCTCTAGAAATCTGGAAGGACTCTTCTTGAGTTTTTAGGTGAGTACTAATCAGCATATGCAGCTGAGGAAAAAGCCACCCGAAAGTAATAGAGCAGCTCAAAGTTCTGGGAATAATGTCTGTTCCTACAAGACAGACTGGAAAAGAAAACCTCATCATTCTCAGGGCATTGGGTAGAGTACACAGAAAGGTTTCACCTCCGTTGTGGGGAGTAATTAGTCCTAGGCTGAGCACTGTTCTGTCTTGCCTTGCGTTTAAAGCAGGACCTGAAAGCATCAAATTATTTCCAAGGAACTGTACCAGAGCAAAGATTTGTAGAAATAAAAAAAAATGTCTAGTACCCAGAAAGATAAAATTCCTAATGTTTAGCATCCAGTCAAAAACTACCAAAGATGTAAATAAGTAGGAAAATAGGACCCATGATGAGTCAAATCAATTGAAACTGACAAGTATGTTAGAATTTGCAGACATTATATTGTAACTATTCCATTTGTTCAAAAATCAAGTAGAGACATGGAAGATGGAAAGACACCAACCAAACTTCTAGAAAGAAAGTATAATATGTGAAATATAAAACGCCGGTTGGAATAAATGGCAGATTTGATATTGCAGCAGAAAAAAATTAATGAGTTTGAAGACCTGTCAATGGAAACAATGCAAGATAACAAATTTTTAAAAGCATCCAATATGTTGAATAGACTAAGGTGTGGGGAAGGAATTTGAAGAACCTATTTGAAGAAATGATAGCTAAAAAGTATTTAAATTTTGATGAAAACTATAAACCCACAGATTCAAGAACAATGAATCCCAAGGACAAGAAGTATGCAAAAATGTTCACCAAGGCACATCATAATTGTTTAATACCAATGACAGATCAAAAAAAAAAAAGACAAGAGGATAAAGGCACTATTTGCAAGTAACTTGGAAACAGTTAAAAGACGAGGATGAAATCAGATTTCTTTCAGGAAACAAATTGTAAAAGTCAGTATACATGATGTATTAGAAAAAGCCCTGTCAACCTACAATTCTATGCCCAGAGAAAGAATATTTAAAGATAAGTATTTAAGTGTTTAGGTAAAACATAAGATTTATTTAAAATATCTTTAAATTTTTTTTCAACGTTTTTATTTATTTTTGGGACAGAGAGAGACAGAGCATGAACGGGGGAGGGGCAGAGAGACAGGGAGACACAGAATCGGAAACAGGCTCCAGGCTCCGAGCCATCAGCCCAGAGCCTGACGCGGGGCTCGAACTCACGGACCGTGAGATCGTGACCTGGCTGAAGTTGGACGCTTAACCAACTGCGCCACCCAGGCGCCCCAGATTTATTTAAAATATCTTTAAAACAGGGGCGCCTGGGTGGCTGAGTCGGTTAAGCGTCTGACTTCGGCTCAGGTTATGATCTCATGGTCCATGAGTTCGAGCCCCGCATTGGGCCCTGTGCTGACAACTCAGAGCCTGGAGCCTGCTTTGGATTCTGTGTCTCCCTCTCTCTCTGTCCCTACCCTGCTCGTGCTCTGTCTCTCTCTGTCTCAAAGATAAATAAACATTTAAAAATAAATAAATAAAAATAAAATATCTTTAAAACAAAGGCAAAATACTTTTCCAGACTAAAGCTGAAAGAATTTATCACTAGCAGATCTGTTAGACAAGAAATGTTAAAGGAAGTCCAGTCTTTCAGGCAGATGGATATACATTGGAGACCAAAAAACTGATCTGCAGCTTGTTATTTAAGCTTTAAGCTTAGAATGGATTGCACATTTTTTAAGCTCCCCAGTATGGTGACAATTATTGGAACCTGGTATTAAGTACATGAGGGTGTTCATTATACTATTGTCTATTCTTATGTTGGATTTTCCACAAGTTTTTTTTTTTATTTACATTACCCAACAATATATTATCTCCTGTAAATAAACCCAATTCAGTTTTGTACAGTGTTTTATTTATTTATGTATTTAGTGCCTTTGTTCCTCATTTTATTTTACTTTATTTGGCATTTTTAAAATTTATTTTTTTAATTTGCATTCAAGTTAGCATATAGTACAACAATGTTTTCAAGAGTAGATTCCTGGGGCGCCTGGGTGGCGCAGTCGGTTAAGCGTCCGACTTCAGCCAGGTCACGATCTCGCGGTCCCTGAGTTCGAGCCCCGCGTCGGGCTCTGGGCTGATGGCTCGGAGCCTGGACCCTGTTTCCGATTCTGTGTCTCCCTCTCTCTCTGCCCCTCCCCCGTTCGTGCTCTGTCTCTCTCTGTCCCAAAAATAAATAAAAACGTTGGAAAAAAAAATTAAAAAAAAAAGAGTAGATTCCTTAATGGCCCTTACCCATTTAGCCCCTCCCTCTCCCACAACCCTTCCAGTAACCCTCTGTTCTCCTTCTTTAAGAGTCTCTTATGTTTTGTCCCCCTCCCTGTTTTTATGTTCTTTTTGCTTCCCTTCCCTTATGTTCATCTGTTTTGTATCTTAAAGTCTTCATATGAGTGAAGTCATATGATATTTGTTTTTCTCTGACTAATTTCACTTAGCATAATACCCTCTAGTTCCATCCACGTAGTTGCAAACGGCGAGATTTCACCCTTTTTGATTGCTGAGTTATACTCCATTGTACATATATACCACATCTTTATCCATTCATTCATCTATGGACATTTGGGCTCCTTCCAACTTTGGCTATTGTTGATAGTGCTGCTATAAACATGGGGGTGCATGTGTCCCTTCGAAACGGCACACCTGTATCCCTTGGATAAATGCCTAGTAGTGCAATTGCTGGGTGGTAGGGTAGTTCTATTTTTAGTTTTTTGAGGAACCACCATACTGTTTTCCAGAGTGGCTGCACCAGTTTGCATTCCCACCAGCAATGCAAGAGAGATCCTCTTTCTCCGCATCCTCGCCAACATCTGTTGTTGCCTGAGTTGTTAATGTTAGCCATTCTGACAAGTGTGAGGTGGTATTGTGCAATGTAATATTTAAACGACATAGATCTGTACTAACTGATCTTGCTACATATATCAAAGTGTTATGCAATTCTCATCAAATTGGATTTTGAAATCTACAGACTACAGTAAGAACTATTGCTTCTAATTGTTATAAGATAGTAAATAAATAAGCTGTGCTGTCTGCAGAGATTTTAATTAATTAGCTGAGACTTAAAGGTATACATACTGTATCCAAACATGATCAAAGAAAGCATGTGAGTCTCTTTCTTTTGTCTCACAATGTGCTTTCATGATGATAGTAAAGTTTCATCAGTAACAATGGTGGACTAAGAAATTAGACCGGGGACTTGAATGTATTTTTCTCCTTTTCTTCATCAATAATTTTAGCTTGTTTCCAAGTAGCTTTTTGATTGTAAAGATCTTATGCTTTCATTTTTAAGGTAGCAATTATTTGATA